CCACACATGAGGTTCACTTTTCAATATTAAGAGAGGTTAGTTGAACATATTGTGAGTAGTGTTCATGGTTCCTGCTCTTTTTTTTTCTGGTTGGATCTCAGATTCCTTCACACTGATTGTGCAGGTGATCACTTTTCCTGGGCACAGGAAAAATGTTTTCTTTGTGGTCAAGCTGGTCATTTAGCAGCTGAGTGTCGTGGTAAACCGGGTGATAATGCTGCAGATGGGAATGGGGTGGATGATGCTCCAATTCACAAGAAGAAGTATCAGGTTGGAGAACTAACAACCTGTTCTGGTTCCTAAAATTCAAGTTGTTTCATTTTTTATTCCTATTTTTATTTTTCTGACTGCTTTTAATCTGACTCATTCTTTACAGTTCCTAACATTTGGGTGTTGCGAGAATATTTGCAATATGATTTGGACATACCTAATCCACCATTTCCAATAAACTTTGAGCGAATAGTGGATGATTTTGTGTTTTTGTGTTTCTTTGTTGGCAATGACTTTCTCCCACATATGCCGACATTGGAAATTAGAGAGGTGTGTAAGTGGCAGGCATTTTGTTCCTGTAATTAAATAGTTGTTATTCTGAGCAACATGCTTAATTTTAATCATTTTTTTCTATGCTGTTTCTGCATTTGCTGGTTTACATGTTGTCTTATTCTTCCCACTAGCATTTTCTGTTCTCTTTCCATTCTTATAAGTTATGCCATCATTCTATCATAAAGATCTTTACTCTTGCAGGGTGCTATAAATTTACTGATGCATGTTTATAGAAGGGAGTTCGCTGCCTGGGTGGTTATCTTACTGATGGTGGTGAGGTAATTTTTCTGTTTAAGCAGTCCTTTAAAATGGGTAGCCACTCTATCTGCTTCATGTTTCTTGTAGGGGAAAGCGTGTTGTTTCTTTTTTTTTTTACATGCTGTTCTATCATAATTTTATATTGAATCCTCCGTTTTGTTATTTCTTTTCTGATAATAATGTAGGCTATCTTAACAAATACTGAGAAAGTTCAAATTACATGTTCAGGTTTTGTTAGACAGAGTAGAGAATTTATCCAGTCTGTTGCTGTATATGAAGATCAAATTTTTCAGAAGAGGACTCGTATACAACAGGTTCTTTAAGCCTTCTCCATTATTTCTTTTTATTTTATTACGTTATGTTTGCTTCATTTGATTCGAGAATGGCGTGGACTTTGTCTAAGTCATAATATATCCTACTTTTACTATCTCTACAGTTTTTTTTAATATTTGATGTGAAAAGCAATAATCATTTATTCCTTGTCTTGGAGGTTGTGTAATTAAGTTACTGTTGTCTTGAGGCTACATTTCTTGTATTCTTGAGCATGTGTCTGTAATAAGCTAACTTTGATTTATGTACAATTGAGCAATCCTCATGTTTTGCTTCCTTCAATCCATTAAATATGCTTAGCCAAATGATAATTTATGGATGATACTTGCCTTGAAGAATGATCATATTCAGCTTTCTTTCTTTTTCAATTAATATTTTTATTCTGTAGAAATTTTCTGATACTTTTCTGATGATCTTTTTCAGTCTATGGAGTATAATGAGAGTCTTAAAGCAAGAAGAGAGTCTACTGAAGACCACAGGCACCAGCTGAGGAGAGGTCTGTCTCTTTGTCCATTGTTTTGTGTATAAAATTTTTTTATACCAAAATTGTACCCTTTATTGACTTCCTTTATACTTTATGCATTCCGAGACTGGGAATTCATCAGCAATTTATCCCGTCAAATGTCAGCTTCATTCATATGGGGAAAGTTTTTCTTGATTACTTCTCTCTAATTCTGAAAGTAATGAGCTTACTGCGTGATACAATTTTAATTGAAAACTTGGAAGTTCTCTGGCCATTAGGAGCTTTGAAATAGACTTGGAAACCCGTTGGTTATCAAAAGTCTTTATCCTTTTGGAATTAAATGAAAATTAATGTCTTTATTTATATTCCTGTTGTGAGATAGTGTTAGGATCCACATTGAAAGGGAAAAGGGTGGAATGTGGGTTGTAAAGGCTTGGTCACCTCCCTTGGCAAGCCGGTTTTTCCAAGGAGAGTTCTACCCAAGCCCATGAAAGACCCATGGCCTAGCCCAATTGTTGAGTTATTGGAGTGGGTTCCTATCAATTGGTATCAGAGCATGATCCTGGTCTATGTGGCAGCGCACACGTGGCAGGCTGACCTTGGGCCGGGCTGCTACCCCAAGAAAGGGCATGGAGGCGGGGGAAAGGGGATCTGCGTAGTCACCCAAGGGGTAAAGGCCGACGGGGGTAAAGAGGCCGACGTGGACGTCGGTTGCAGAAGCGCGGTGGAATGTTAGGATCCCACTTGAAAGGGAAAGGTGGGAAGTGGGTTATAAAGGCTTGGGCACCCTCTCTTGGCAAGCCGGTTTTCCAAGGAGAGTTCTACCCAAGCCCATGAAGATCCATGGCCTAGCCCAAATTGTTGAGTTATGGAGTGGGTTCCTACAGATAGGTTAAGATTATTATTATTATTAATATTTTTTAAAAGTTGCAGTTTTTTAGGTGCACTGATCAGGATAAGGTTGCTTCATCTGGACTAAATAAATATATTATGCTGAGGAAGTAATTATGTCAATTAGAATGTTATGATATGCTTTTTCTTAGGTTAAATTGGGGAGCCTGGGTATAAAGATAGGTATTATGTGAGAAGTTTGACGTATCAAATCCACTGGAGATTGATCAAATTAAGAAAGACGTGGTACGTTCTTATCCCAGTATTTTTCCTAGCAAGTGTTTGATTTAATATTTTCTAAAAATGGTTCTGGATGATTAAGTTTGAATATTCCCTGTTGCAATTTTTTGAGGAATTAAGAATCTTTCAGAACAGTTGTAAGTTGTTTTTGCAGGTTTGGAAGTATGTGGAAGGTTATGTTGGGTTTGTCGCTATTACTACCAAGGTGTCACTCTTGGCAATGGTCAGTTTGATTTTGACCAAATGTGAAAAGATTATGTTTACTTCTGTATTTTTCCTTTTAAATAAATCGGATAAATTTCTAGGTATAAGTACATGCTACGCGTATATGTTTATGAATGAGTTTCAACTAATGAATGTTTTCGTGTTAGATTTGTAATGATGGAAAGGGGACCTACATTATGTGTCAATGTTATAGTCAGTTTGTCTCTAGAACTTGGAAAGCTCTTGCGATAAAGTTGAAAATGTCCTGTTTTTAATATGGTTTTGGCCCTCACCCCTATATATGCGTATATATGACCTTTGATGGTTAAACACCAAATGGCATATCACATGCGAGAAGGAATACAAACATTTTTAGATGCTATATGAGTTGAATTATATGAGTTTATGACTATCATGACTATGGTTAATTTAAAGATGTATTTCTGTTTAATTTGTTCAGGGTTATCCATACCATTATGCTCCATTTGCTTCGGATCTCAAAGATCTGTCTGACTATGAAATAACACTTTTTCCGGGAGAAACGTTTAAGCCTTTTGATCAGCTCATGGGAACCCTGCCAGCTGCTAGGTGGCTTTTTTTTTTTTTAAAAAAAAAAAAATTAGTGTGGCTTTAAACTTCAGCTCAATGATGGGGAAAGTATCTGTTTCTTGTTACAGTTCCAGTGCTTGCCAGAAAAATACAGAAATTTGATGATGATTCGTCATCACCTATCTATAAATTCTATCCTTCTGGTATGTTACTGTTACTGCCAGTGATCACTTATTCCCAACATAATCCTTTTCCTTTGCAAGTTTACTTGGTTTTTTTTTGTGAACAGATTTGAGGTTGACATGAATGGTAAACGCTTTGCAGGGAGGTGCAGTGATGTCAACTACTAAGTGTCGATGCAATTTTATTATTGGATACATTAAGAAACTAACTGAATTTATCTTTTATTCCTTCTTTGGAAGTCAGGGTGTTGTGAAATTGCCATTTATTGATGAGAAGAAGTTGCTTACTCAAACAAAGAAGCTGAACGTCTTTAACGGTCTGGTTTTTTTATGTTATACGAGTATGCATAATAACTTATTAACTTTCGACCTTACCTATACACATTTGTTATCATTTTCGTATATAAAAATGAAATAATGTAATAAGTAGAGAATAGGTACATAGCAAAAATTCTTTTCACGTTGTGTATTTTAAATTATACTTGTACATGTGGTTCTTTGTGTTTTTTTCTGTTTAAAATATTATTACACATTTTCCAAATAAAGTAGAGAATAAAAAAGTAAACAAAATCGATAAACATACCCTTACATATTGTGTGTTTTCATTTATTATTTTGTTCTAATAGGTTTCAATTTTGTATTTTTTTATATTATCTGATAGAGCATTTATTTTTTATTTTTTTTATTTTTTGGTTTGGAGCAGGAACCATTTGACTCAAATCTTTAAGGAAACTTTTTTTTTTTTTTAATTTTAAGATGGAGTTTTTTTAATAACTTTTTATTATTCGAAATTTTCAGTTAAGAAGGAAAGGTTTTAGTTGATCAGTTTAACCTTTTTTTTTTTTTTTTTTTTTTTTAACAAATAAGAATATTCCATTAACCATTCCATGAAAATAGAACATTTTTCTTCCTATTGTATAATCAATATGTTTCCTGATATTTGTCAATAGCAGTTTAAGGTGCTAGTTCTTTTCAGCTAGTTGCTTACTGAACAATAAGAATCTTATTGAGCTTAGTTTTTCATAATTTTTCCTGGCCTTGGAATTATAATGGGAATTTGGTTCTTCAATCATCTTTGGGGAAAAAAGAAAGAAAGAAAATGAAAATGAAAATGAAACCATCATATATTGTTCACTTAATGTATTAACTGATTCTGAATTTTTTTTTTAAATGCACCGGTAGTTGTAGGTTGATCAATTGTGACCTTGTGGTTGTTTTCTGAAATGCCTCTTAAACTATGAGAGTTTTGGGATCATGGTGTAATTAGCAAGGCAAATCAATTCTTGTTCTTCTTTTTTCTTGAATGCTTGCGTATGCTAACCCACAATTGGTGTCTGCAGGAAGAAGAACAGTTACGAAATAGTGTGATGCATGATTTATTGTATGTTAGTTCTGGTCATCCTCTGTCTCGACAAATTTCTTTATACTATCAGCAAAACTATTGGTTACCTAAACATGAAAGATTTTTTTGGAGGATTGATACAAATGCCAGGTTGGTTATTTTCTTTATTTGATGGTCAAGTCCAGAGTCTTCTGATAACTTAATCATCTTGAATTTATGATGGTTTTACTCTCTTCACCTGTTGCTGACCTTTGCAGTGGTGGAATGAATGGATACATTTGGTTGTATGAGAGGAATGTGTTATGTTGTTTCGTCTCTTCACCTGTCAGGGGATTGCCACACATAGAGTGTAACCAAGTTTTGTAAGTTTCCTTTCACCACTATTGCTTCAAGGTGCTAAATAATTACATATCTTATTTTGCCCTTTTTTTCTTGCAGAAACATTACTTATTTTAATCCTGAAAAGCATAAACACATCCCAGAACCTCCCAAGGGTGTAATCATGCCTGATAAGGTATGTGACTTCGCAATGCTTGTAGAATTGATGTTATTTACTATCAATGTGTGTAAGAGTCAACAAATTATGAAACTGATATTCATTCTTCATGTTGATAGTTCTTCATGTTGAGCTTCTTTTTGGTCAATTAATTGTCTTATTCCTGTTGATATGGGATTTTCAATTAGTGCCTTACTGTTTGTTACTACTGCAGATCTTAACTGATATAGACATTAAACCATTTCCTACTCTATGGCATGAAGATAATAGCCGGCGTCAACAAGGCAGAGACAGGTAAGCATAATGCATTTCATTACTAGTTCGATTGATGGTAAAAGAATTTATGGTTACAGTCTGGGTTATTGTTAGCAGTGTGTGAAATAGAAAACTTGTGATGTCAGTTGTTTGAATCTGTATTGAAATCTAATATTCATAGACCAATGGACCTGAATTTTACTGGCAATCTTAGTGTTGCCTCTTACATTAAACAAGTGCTGATATCTTATTTGGTGCATCTATTTCAGGCCACATTTACCTGGAGCGATGGCTGGCCCTGTGTTGGGAGAAGCAGCTCATCGTCTTGTTAAGAATACACTTAACTACAAACCTAATGGTTCTTCTGGGTTAGTTGAGCAACTGATGTACCGTAATATCCCATATCCAGTTACTAGACCTAGACCAGCTGGACCCTCTGGAAATGAAAGGGGATTTGGCGATGACCCAAATTCTAATAATGGATATTACTATAATATGCAAGGCATAGTGAGTAACTCTAGATCTCCCAATCCATCAAATGGTGTGCAAGGCAACAGACACAACTCTAGGATGCAGGACAGGTATCAATACCAAGAACAGTATGGTGATATGAGGACTGGTATGTCCCATATGAGAATAGAAGAAAGTATAAGAAGTAGGCCTCCCGCAGGGACGCATTACAGAATGCCTAATTCAGGATACTCGGGGAATTCAAACCAGCAGTTTGCGCAGAACATGAATCCACTTCCATCTCCACCCACCAATTGGATTAATAAACAAGTACCCGGAGATAATAGAATGTATACTAATGGAGTATATGAGAAGCAGCAAGTGAAGACGGTTTATCAGGCCAAGACGACACAACTGTCCCCAGAAGATATCTTGAAGTAACAGTGACTTTTGTGGATTTGGTCGAACTTAACTGTTCTTTTGCATTGGGTACCCCTTCTGTAGCAGTAGTTATGTGGCCATTTTAATCTGTATTGTTAGGACAATGTTTCGGGAAACATACCAGATCTGTCTGTTGGGGTGCCGCAAATAGACAGCAGGAGGTGCAAGTTATTGCTGTAACTTTTCCTTCCCTCGCTTAACAAATTTGCTTTCAATACTGGGACAAGATTTGAAAATCAGTCGAATTTGGAAGGTGAGGTTCTGTATTACACAATGTAATTGTAGTTGCAGGTTTTCAGCTGTAGATTTTCTAATACTTTCATGTTTGGGATGATTTGTATAAAGGAAACTGGAGCTACAGTTAGTTTTAGGGTAGTAAGATGAACTTTACTGCCTCGTGTACTGGTTTTATTATTGAAGATGTAGCAAAATCAGCTAAAACAGCTGATTTATGTTTCAAGCGAGAAGATGTAAACCACTGTGTGTGTGTACTTAAATCTCAAAGTACTTTCTAGTATCCAGATGTTTAAAGAAGAGATTATATATATATATATTTGCTGGAGATGAGATCATTAGAATGGAGTGATGTAGATGCCTAATATGTTTTCTTCTATGAATTTACATGATTAGTTGGATTTACCTAGTATATGGTAACGATAGTAGCCAAATACTAATAAAAATAAGAGTAAATATTTGTCTATTTCAACTTGCTTAATGTAATGTTTTATATATTGAAATGATAAATATTTTATTTTCAGCGTTTTGAAGGATGGATATTAAGACTTCAATATTGTTATATCTTGTCTTAAGTTTTAAAAGCTGTCCTAGCTTGGCCGGTTCAATTGGGACTCGGTGCCTTCACCCGGTTGGTTACCAAATTTGATTGTTCATGGCAAACTTTAAAGATTAGGACGATGATCAACGAACAATTAATGGTTGGGATGTTGGGGGTTTTGAAGAGGAAGGATCGATCAGTCGAAAGGTGGCGATGGAGGTGATTTCTAGTAAGTGAAACAATTGGATTTCAAACTTGTAGGGACTTGTGAAATTTTCAAATTTGGCTTGGGTTGGTGTAATTTGGGGTGTTTTTTTAGGATTTCAAACTTGTAGAGACTTATGGAAATTTTAGGGGTGTTTTTGTTAGATATAAAGCTTTTGATATATTGACGTCATTGGCTTGTACTGTCAATCAAAACGGTTGAACCAGTGAACCTGGGAGGTAGACACTTTGTTGGGTGGGTTTTAAAACCTAGTCAAAGTAAATTTGTTTTATTTAAGTGCTGTTGTACTTAACGTTATGGAATGGAGTAGGACTGTTTTGTGTTAAGTATGATGTGAATGACATGATCCAGACCGATAATATGATGCGTGAAGGGCATATTAATTGTGAAAAACGCAACATTAGGTTGTGGATGTGTGTGCATACTGAAAGTAAAAGGGCGGTTTGGCAAAGAGCAATTTCGTGGAACGTGATTGCCATTCATTGGCCTGATGGGGAAGAATATTGATGAATGAATTTGACTATGTTTCATTCAATCAATCCATCAATTATCAGTCATCATAATTTCTATTATGTCCTAGATTTACCTTAACCTTCTATCCAAACACACACTTAAACATGTTACAAAATATCTTCTCTCTGTAAAATCCACTGCATAAATTGCTTTTATCAAATCAGTATGAGCAATTGATATATTCTCAATCCAGTTTTAACAAAATCCTAAGTTGATATTTATGATTGCATTTATTTTAGATTTTAACTCTAACAATAATGCCGTTTCTTTTATTTTAACATATTTATAACTTTTTACTGTAACAAAACGCATGTTAATAAACTAAAGTATATCGATGTTTTTTTTGATCGAAAATGAGTTCATGTTAGCAATGTCTAAATCAGAGATTTTAAGCTTTTTTCGATCGATTTTTAAGTTTAAAATCACTTTTGAGACTACTATTAAACTCTCCATAATCTCTTTTATAAAATTTATACCTTCGTCACCATTTCTAACCATCTCTAATAATCATTAAGTGTGTTAGTTTGGTGAGAATTTGGGAGGACATCAACTTAGGATTTGGCTATACGATTGGGTGGAAATAAAAAAATAAAAACATTTTCCAAATGAGAGAGCGGAAAAAAAGGCTGCTATGGCATAGGCACCTATAAGGGAATTGGGTCCACAACTAGACTAAGTCCAAGTCCAACACGCCAATAACAGAAACCAAATTACAGTCAATCCACCCTCCCCTCGTGAACCTTAAGTCCTTAACCATAACCAAACAACCAACAAAGAAAACCAAACCCCACACCCACTAACTTAACGTAACCCACCTTCTCTCTCTCTCTCTCTCTCTCTCTCCCTAATGGCCTCCGAGCAACACGACGCCGTTTTCCCCGAAGAAGACCAAGACCTCGATGATGACGAGGAATCTTCCGACGAAGATGAACTCGAGGAAAACGACGATGTTCTGGTTGACGAAGAAGAAGATGATGAGGAAGACCTCAATTCCGCTTCCGTCGTCTCTTCTGTTACTCCTTCTTCTTCCATAACTGTCGCCTTCCCCTCCGCTTCTGCTATCACCGTCCCTCCTGCCTCTGTCGTCTCCGTCGCTCTCCCTCCCGACGATCCCGATCCCAAACGCCAACGTGTTACCGAAACCGTCGTGGTTCAGGAGGAGGAGAAGAAACCGGTTGTGCCGTTGCCGTTGCCTTTGCCTTTGCCTTTGCCTTTGGCGTTGCCGCAGCAGCTGGATGAATCTAGACGCCTGTTTCAACGGCTGTGGACGGACGAGGACGAGATCGAGCTGTTGCAAGGGTTTCTTGATTATACTTCACAGCGTGGCAGCGCGCATCATCATGATACGGCGTTGTTTTACGATCAGATTAAGTCAAAGCTCCAGCTTGACTTTAACAAGAATCAATTGGTCGAGAAGCTGAGAAGATTGAAGAAGAAGTATAGAAATGTTATGAGCAAGATCAGCTCAGGTAAGGATTTTACTTTTAAAACGGCTCATGATCAAGCTACGTTTGAAATTTCTCGCAAGATCTGGAGCACCACTAATGTTAGTGTTTTAGACGATGAAGATGCGAATGCCAACCACAATAATAATGTTCATTTTAGTAATGAATTTAAGGGAAATAGTACTGCTGTTGTTAGTAGTAATAATCATGAAGAGAAGAATACGCCCAAGTCTAGAAAGCGGTCAAGGGCCAAGTCTGGAGCTAATGAGAATGTTGTTGTGATGAATAATAGTGAGAATGTTAATGTGAATAGTGGTCTTGGTGGTGGTGGTGGTGGTAATAATAATGGGATTGCGGGGGTGGTGGAGGAGACGGTTAGGAGTTGTTTGTCGCCCTTGTTTAAGGAGTTGTTGAGTAATGTGATGGGAGGAGTGGGGGGAAGAGGGATTGGGGGTTTGGCTATGAATGCTGTGATGCCTTTGGGGTTTGGTGGGAAGGGGATGGGGTTCGGTGGAAGTTCAGGAGCTGAAGTGGTGGATGAGAGGTGGAGGAAGCAACAGATTTTGGAGTTGGAGGTGTATTCTAAGCGGTTGGAGTTAGTGCAGGATCAGATCAGGATGGCGTTGGAGGAGTTGCGGTCAACGGGAGGGTGATTTGTGATTGGAAGTGGTTTCAGGTTCTTGGATTTGTTTCATAAAAGATTTGTCGATAGCTTGTTTTGATCAATGGTTGTTTGATAGTGTAGGGAGTAGCTGTATTTTGAGTTTAATATTCATTTTGGCTTTTTTTTTTTCCCTTTTTTTTAAATTAACAGATATTAAATAATGATTTACGTTGATGTCTTTGTTGACTTCTTCGTGTTCCTTTGATAGGTGTATATAATGGTTTTATTCATACATAGATTGGAATGACTATCTTTGATAAAAGATATAGCCATTATATATAATACATATATTTCTCTTATTTCACATTTGTAATTATTATTGGTTTTTTGAGATTGCTATCTTGATTCATTGTTATCTAAAGACTATGATGCACTCTCTCATGCAATCTGATTGTTCTGATAATTGGGTTATAATTAAAATTGGCACCTTTTTGGGTGCACTGATGGCAATGGGAAGAAGTTAGGGAAGATGGGTGGATTGGAAATGGTTATGAACTTTGTGGTATTATGCTCTGATTTGGCCTCAAATATGGACACCAATGATCTATGTGGATGCAGGGTACTATTCTTCTTCATCATTTTTCTTTTCAAGATTATATAATATTTCAATGAGTTGCTTCTGCAGTTATGAACATAGTGTAAGAAATTGTGGAATTGTGTAAATAAATAGAGTTCCTAGTGTAAATTAGACTCTGTACTTTCTCCAGCACATACTTCTTGTTAAACATTATTTAGACCGTGTATTTTTCCGGAGCATGCTTCTTGTTAAACAGCAAAGTTTGAATAGCCAAAGATAAGTGGTATGAAGATTATTATGGTCTTTGTAGTTGTTAAATGCACTATTGGTGTGCTTGAGATCAACTTTGAATTGATCCTCGGAATTTCACGATGGTTTTATATAGAGTAACAAAGTCTAGTGTAGCAAGTTGGATTATTATCTATAGTACCTACTGAACAAGGCTGGGTTTGGCCTGCATCTTTTCATTTTGTGTCGTTAGGTGTTTATAACTATCTCAATTATTAGTTTGTCAAGCCATAGAAGAGGAAAATTGCTCCTTGATTGCTATAGAAGCTATATGTGGGACACTGGTATTTGCAACCATGCTGATAGTGCTTGCCACCCTCTAGTCAAACCTATTATAAGCTCCATTGCTATTTTTCCAATTTATATCAGCTGTGGTGCATCTTTTTTTGTACCTGCACCCATGCCGGAAGTGCTTGCCACCACATCTAGTAAGGGCTATTATTAGCATATTTTTAATATTTCCAACTTGGTTTACCTGTGCTGCATATTCTGTGCCTAGTCATTATTCCTAAGTGCTGGCTGAAAAAGATAATCTTATTCATTCATATATGAAGGGTGAAGGGTTGAGTTATGACGGTTTTGTTTCCAAATTTCAACTCCTCATATCTCTCAATGTCGACCGACATCTGGAGAATCGGCTTTTGTTAAACAGTTAAATCTTTTCATTGCATACGGTTGAATATATCAAGCTTGATCATTCTCATTGATTCAAGTAATAAATTTAACAGATTGAAAGAAGAGATGGTAATTATTGTCGATCCTGGGAAAGAGCAAAATTAACTGAAACTGGTGGTTGATTTATATTATTCTGATGGGTGGAGAGGGAGCAGTAGTGGAGGTTGTCAGTTGCTGGGCATAAAATTTTTGCCACTTATTTTTTTGTGCATGTTTTCTTGCTGTTATGGACCTTTTCATTGATCCCATCGTCTGAGGACCGTACAAGCCAACTCATAAAAAGATATTGTTTATTAATGCAGAGACACTCTTTTTAATGCAATAAAAGACAAAAANTGGAGTTGGAGGTGTATTCTAAGCGGTTGGAGTTAGTGCAGGATCAGATCAGGATGGCGTTGGAGGAGTTGCGGTCAACGGGAGGGTGATTTGTGATTGGAAGTGGTTTCAGGTTCTTGGATTTGTTTCATAAAAGATTTGTCGATAGCTTGTTTTGATCAATGGTTGTTTGATAGTGTAGGGAGTAGCTGTATTTTGAGTTTAATATTCATTTTGGCTTTTTTTTTTTCCCTTTTTTTTAAATTAACAGATATTAAATAATGATTTACGTTGATGTCTTTGTTGACTTCTTCGTGTTCCTTTGATAGGTGTATATAATGGTTTTATTCATACATAGATTGGAATGACTATCTTTGATAAAAGATATAGCCATTATATATAATACATATATTTCTCTTATTTCACATTTGTAATTATTATTGGTTTTTTGAGATTGCTATCTTGATTCATTGTTATCTAAAGACTATGATGCACTCTCTCATGCAATCTGATTGTTCTGATAATTGGGTTATAATTAAAATTGGCACCTTTTTGGGTGCACTGATGGCAATGGGAAGAAGTTAGGGAAGATGGGTGGATTGGAAATGGTTATGAACTTTGTGGTATTATGCTCTGATTTGGCCTCAAATATGGACACCAATGATCTATGTGGATGCAGGGTACTATTCTTCTTCATCATTTTTCTTTTCAAGATTATATAATATTTCAATGAGTTGCTTCTGCAGTTATGAACATAGTGTAAGAAATTGTGGAATTGTGTAAATAAATAGAGTTCCTAGTGTAAATTAGACTGTGTACTTTCTCCAGCACATACTTCTTGTTAAACATTATTTAGACCGTGTATTTTTCCGGAGCATGCTTCTTGTTAAACAGCAAAGTTTGAATAGCCAAAGATAAGTGGTATAGATTATTATGTTCTTTGTAGTTGTTAAATGCACTATTGGTGTGCTTGAGATCAACTTTGAATTGATCCTCGGAATTTCACGATGGTTTTATATAGAGTAACAAAGTCTAGTGTAGCAAGTTGGATTATTATCTATAGTACCTATTGAACAAGGCTGGGTTTGGCCTGCATCTTTTCATTTTGTGTCGTTAGGTGTTTATAACTATCTCAATTATTAGTTTGTCAAGCCATAGAAGAGGAAAATTGCTCCTTGATTGCTATAGAAGCTATATGTGGGACACTGGTATTTGCAACCATGCTGATAGTGCTTGCCACCCTCTAGTCAAACCTATTATAAGCTCCATTGCTATTTTTCCAATTTATATCAGCTGTGGTGCATCTTTTTTTGTACCTGCACCCATGCCGGAAGTGCTTGCCACCACATCTAGTAAGGGCTATTATTAGCATATTTTTAATATTTCCAACTTGGTTTACCTGTGCTGCATATTCTGTGCCTAGTCATTATTCCTAAGTGCTGGCTGAAAAAGATAATCTTATTCATTCATATATGAAGGGTGAAGGGTTGAGTTATGACGGTTTTGTTTCCAAATTTCAACTCCTCATATCTCTCAATGTCGACCGACATCTGGAGAATCGGCTTTTGTTAAACAGTTAAATCTTTTCATTGCATACAGTTGAATATATCAAGCTTGATCATTCTCATTGATTCAAGTAATAAATTTAACAGATTGAAAGAAGAGATGGTAATTTTTGTCGATCCTGGGAAAGAGCAAAATTAACTGAAACTGGTGGTTGATTTATATTATTCTGATGGGTGGAGAGAGAGCAGTAGTGTAGGTTGTGAGTTGCTGGGCATAAAATTTTTACCACTTATTTTTTTGTGCATGTTTTCTTGCTGTTATGGACCTTTTCATTGATCCCATCGTCTGAGGACCGTACAAGCCAACTCATAAAAAGATATTGTTTATTAATGCAGAGACACTCTTTTTAATGCAATAAAAGACAAAAAGAAAAAACAAAAAAAAAAAAAAAAATCACTTAATAATGCTTTTCTATCTGTCTCACCTCATTTTCCCATTTTACTCGTGTATAATGTGATTTAGCTAAATATCACCAAATGAATAAAAGTAATTTTGACTTTTGGTATAGTTTTCTATGGGGCTGGACAGTTTTGAAAACCCTGCATTTTTTTGAGATAATCAAAACTGGGATCAGAATCGGAACCGGTTGGTTTCAGTTCCTAGAAACTTGGAACCAGAACTTGAAACATAGGTTTCAATTCTAGATATCTGGATTAATTTCAATTATCCCCTTTTAAAAAAAATGATAAATACACCCCAATAGTTTATAATAATTCTTTCAGTCCCAGTTCCTAGTTCTTGCCCGAGTACCAGGACCTCGGTTCTGATTTTGATTCTCGGTTTCAGCATTGTAGGAACCAGAACCAGAACCAGACTCAGAAATTCTATATTCCAATTTTCTAGAACCGGACCCTAATAGGCCCGTTATAGTTCTACCCTTTACTTGCTCACCCCTAGTTTTTTAAATTAATATTTTCAATATAAACTTACAATTTCCTAAAATTACACGTTTTTCAAATCTTAGTTGAAAGGCAGCAAAACTTTTTTAGTATTAATTTCATGAATGGGTCTTTTTTATTTATTTGTTTTGGTCCAAAAAATTGTAGAATAGTGAAAGTAGTTTTGAGAGAGAATGACAAAACTATCGGGCTTTTGGGCTAGGCTCATGGATCATCAAACTGATGGGCCTAGCCCAAGTAAAGATGAGCCCACTAATAGAATTCTGTAGCAAATCTTTGACACTTCCCCACCTTATCCAACTCCCTTTCAGGAACAGCATATACTCTTCCATGGATCCTCTTCATTTCTCCTCCACCACCAACACCTCTCAACCTCAACTCTAAACTCAATTCAACTTCCACTTTCTCCATTCACTTTTAACCAGACTCATAAAACTCGCAAAATCACAAAATGGCTTCTGCAACCACAAGACCCACATTCTCTTTTCACCTCTCCCAGCCTTCTCCTCCAAAACCAACCAAACTTCACTCCCCTTCCACTCTTGTCTTCCCAAAGAAAACCCCAAAGCCCCTCTTCATTACTCTCTCCGTTGATGTCTCCAAAGAAGACAAACCCACTTTAGACCAACCCACTTCAGAACAGCCCGTTTCAGACCAACCCTACTCCTCCATTTCGCCGGAACTTGAAGAAGAGCAAGAGAAAGAGCAGGAAAAGTTTGACAAACGACGTCTAGAAGAGAAATTTGCAGTCTTGAATACGGGAATATATGAGTGTAGGTCTTGTGGGTATAAATACGATGAAGCTGTGGGTGATCCTTCGTATCCTATTCCTCCTGGCTTTCAGTTTGACAAGTTGCCTGATGATTGGAGGTGTCCCACTTGTGGTGCAGCTCAGAGCTTTTTTGAAAGCAAGAGTGTGGAGATTGCGGGGTTTGCTGAGAACCAGCAGTTTGGGTTGGGAGGGAATACGCTCACTTCTGGTCAGAAGGCCTTGTTGATATGGGGAAGCTTGTTCTTTTTCTTTGTGTTGTTCTTGTCTGGTTACTTTCTGCAATGATAAGTTGGGAGTTGGGGTTGGTTGGTAAGAGCTTGGTGGCTTGTTTTGGTTATTGCTATGTTTTCTTGAATGTGTATTTTGTGGTTACTATATATGCAAATAGAGGAATTCAGATTAGTTGAATGGTGGTATATACAAAATATATTATTTTTCGAAGCTCTCATTTTCACCATGGAATTGATTTGGTGATTTCATTGCTATGGTTGATCTGATTTGAAACAGGTTATTATCATTATTTTAGTGAATATTTATGTTCTGTATTTCCTGAATATTCACTGCTTTATAAACGAAGTGAGTTTCATGATTCTGTAAATTTTATATTTGTAATATGTAATTTAGAACAGTGATTTACTGTATAGTTTGGTAACACTATGTCATAAGATAATGTTATTAGAACGAAAAAAAAAAAAAAAAAGAAAAAAAAAAGTGAAGTGAGATTTTCTGCAATTCTATCATGAATAATATTAGTCCTAATTATTGCGCCTAAACCAGGAAACTTGTTCTGCTTCTCCATCCAGTTGCTTTCCACCGGTTCTGTCTTTCTTCTTTTTTTCTTTGTTGCATGACAATATGTTGAAAAGAATTTGTTATGAATTCAATTTATGTACATGCTGTCTGATTGAATGAGACATAAACATCCACAGCTACTTCATTTTCTGTGACCAGAAATCTAACTGTTAGGTTGTTGTTTTTGCTCCATTAGTCAGCAAAGTCATTTCATGCATTAATTAAAGACCTGAGAGCAAAGAGAACACAAGCTACCGTGAGGTTCTTCAGCTGTATCTGCTGAATTTGCTTTCTGGCTTGCAAACTTTATACAGGAATCAACACCTGAGAGCAAATTGAAGGCTAGTTAATGTGAGGTTCTCCAGCTGAGTTTGTTTTCCAGCTTGCAAACTTTATACATGTTTGAACCCTGAGGAACAGGCTTTGTGGTAAAAGCCCTTGATTTCAGTTAAGAGGTTCATTGTTCAAATCTCATTGGGGCTACCTATTTGCCCTGAGGAAACAAAGTCTAGAAGTAGCCCCTAGTTTAGAATTTAGTTAGTATTTTGCTGGGGAAGTTTGAGTAAATATACTGTATAAAACTTTATACATGTTTAGACTTTGATGGATATTTGCGATATCAGCCAGCATTGTCAATAGTTTAGTTATTTACCTCTTCCAGCAATATTTGGGATATTAACCTCACAAGCCCCTGGGCCATTTGGTTTCTCTTCAAGACTCAACAAGTCTTCAATCCCGACTAAAAATGAGATCAAGTTGCATGAGACAGTCACAAATCTCCTTCTATGGAATATTCAGTGTCATATTTGATTTTTGATGGGAGAGATTAAGAGAAGAAACCGAAGAGAGAATACCTAATGGTGGAGTGTTTTCAATGAGGGAAGTTGATAGAAAAGAAGTTAATAAAACAGTATTGCACCTGATTAATATTATTGAGAGTTTTGCTAATTCAAGAAAACCCCCTCAAAGGGGATCATTTATTCTAATTTCTCTTATCTCAATGTTTCATGGTACTGACAAACTTATTGAATGGAAAATGCAAAACTAGACCACTTGTTAGTTCAATGCTTCAAATGCAAGAAAGGGGTTGAAACAAATGATGATTTGTCCACTATTAGATGTTTTTGTATTTTATGTAATTTATGTTTGTAGTTGTAGTTTATGTTTGGTTCTTCTGGACAGAATTTGTAATAGATGTTTGTGATTTTAGCTGATATTTTATCTCAAATTTGTGTGTAAATCTTGCATGGCAAGAACAATATTTCATGGTGTACTTGTGAAATTACATGGCAGCATTGTGTTATCAAGAGGGAGGGTGCCCAAGCCCTTTATAACTCACATGCTCACCATTTTTACTTCCAATGTGGGATCTTAACATTCCACTACGCTTCCGCAACCGATGTCTACGTCGGCTTCTTTATCCCTTGGGTGACTATGCGAATCCCCTTTCCCTTGGGCCTCTATACTCTTTCTCGGGGTAGCAACCCGCGTCTAAGGTTAACCTGGTCACATAGGCAACATCCCGTGGGCATACCAATTGATAAGAACTCATCTAACAACTCCAATAATTGGGTTGGGTAATGAACCTTTTGTGGGCTTGGTAAAATTTTCTTTAGAAAACCGGCTTGTCAACGAAGGGTGTCGAAACCCTTTATAACCCACACGTCCACCTTTTTCCCTTTTAATGTGAGATCCTAACAGTATAATGTTAACATGGAAACTTAATTTTCGATTTTAAATAAAGAGAAAAGCATGAACTTTTTCTTTAAGATGTGTCTTTTATTTTTGTTTGTAATGTTAAGGTGCTTGCAGCTAAAATGCGTTACAATTTGGAAGTTAGAACTCTTGTATCATTTTTCATTGATGCACAATATCAACATTAAATTGAATCTTAAACAAGGATGAAGCATCAACTTGTTCTAAGCATCTTTAGTTTTGTTTGTAATGTCAAGTAGATTTCTGCATATTCCATTTTAAGAGTTCCAAATATATAAATTGTCCTTAATTTCTACTAGATCATTATATCGGAGCTTCTCTACTTTAAGGTTTGGTTTTCTTTCTTTCAATTCTCTTAAAAAGTTCAAACTTTTTTCTTCGTTGTGTTTGAGATTAGCTGAAGGTTTCAGAGTTCTGCTAAATTCTGTTAGTTTCTAATGAAATAATGAATTTGTTGTTAGGTGATTGTCAATAGAGCTACAAAGTTTACAGCTTATCTGCTAGAGAAATTTTGTATTTGATGTTATGTTTTTGATGAATTTAACCATATGTTGATTTGTATTTTCGTTTCTATATTTTTCTGAATTTCTGTTAGGTTTTGAGAAATTAGTAAAAGTATTTTGTGAAGATTTTTATTTGTTCAAGAATAAGGAGATGAAGGTTTGGCTTGGTTCATCACCTATACAGCAGCTCCTCTACTCCTGTTCTCTAGGGATACCAAACTAATTCTACCACTACCATCACCATCAAATGACAACCCTAATTCACAACAAAACCCTAATGCTATAACAGATAGTTTTCACAATCTGAATCTAGACCAACCCTTTGCAAACGCTCCATTAGAGTCCCAAACCAGTCCCAAGAGCTCAATCACACCCATTCCATCAACCCTCCTCTCACCACAATGTCCTGTCGCAGTCCACGCTAGCATGTGGAGGGTGTCTGGGCGACCCTCCTGTACCTGGCCATCCTATTGATAAGGATACTCTTAACTACAAACTTTATTTTACTAGGGGATTTGGTAACGACCCAAATTCTAATTATGGATATTACAGCAATAAATGCTAAACGTATAATGAGTGATAGAAGAGGAACAATACAGTGATAGAAGAGGACTGGGGTGTCTAGTTTGAGGATAGAAGAAACCGTTGGAAGCAGACTTTCTGGAATACAGGGATGCCTAATTCAGGACAATCTGGGAACTCAACCCAGCAGTTTCTGCAAAACATGAATCCACTTCCCTCTCCAACCCCCAATTGGATTAACAACCAAGTCGTTGGTTGGAGATAGTAGAGCCAAGAAAGTGAATGTAATAGTGCATATGAGAAGCAGCAGATACCTAATTCAACACAACACAACTGCCCAGATGCCTTAGAGCAGCAGTGACTGACACACTAGACTTTGTAGTATCCTGGATAGTTTTCCTTCATTCAATTAGATTCATTTAAGCATCCAAAAGCTATCACCTAATTCCTGTTACTGAATTGTGTCTGCTTATAAATCTATGTGATACTTTGGTTTGGTTGTATTTACTCTCATTAATTTTAAGGTTGCTGTTAAAGATCTAAACAACCAAGTTCTACGCATAGAAGACTCTGCAGAATGCGACTTAGAGATGAACATCAATAATTTATAGACCTATTACCTAATATTGCGGCTTCAAAAACTTACCCATTTCACTATGTGTTCATTCATTTGGACCAAAACTAATCACTGGCCACACAGGGGTGGTTTACTACGATAAATTAATCTATCTTAAATTATCACTAGGATTATGAACCGGGGACCTTGGGATTTTGCCTCCAAATAGTCACCCACAAACAAACAAGAAAAAAAAGAAAAAAGGAAAAACAATACAATGATATGAGATTCTGAAAATACAAAATCTGATTTCGAGGTCACATTTTTTGAGTCGTTTTAAGCGATTTAGGAAAACAAGATCTTTAGAATCTCTCTTTTTTATGATTAAAAGTTGACACCTTGCCTCAGACACAGACGCCCAACAGGGAAGGCTCACGTGGAAGACATATGCCCACGTGGCAACATATGAGTGGAGAGAACAACTTGTCACATTCTCTTCAAGAGTTCACAAGTGAGTCACAAAACTGTACAAAAGTCGGCTTCTTACTTCAAACAAAATTTACCCATTCATATGTGCACATACATACATACATACATATACATATATACATACATACATGCATCCACACTTTGACACTACACCCGTTAATAGACAAACCCGCCTTCTTTTTCAATCTTCATTCACTCTATCCCACCTGTGATCTCTCTATTTTCTCTTGTTTTTGATCCCAAATCACTAGATTATTCCGTTTCTCTTAAACCCTGATCACAATTCTTTCCGATCTATATCTTCATCTTTCTCTACCAGATTGGCAGATCCAAGGTTTGTTTTTCTGTCTCTTCTCAATTTTGTTCAAAAAGTTTCAAGCTTTTTTGTTGTTTGCGTTTTTGAGGATGAAAAGAATTTGTTTTTTTTCTGGTGAATTGTGTTGGTTTTAATGGCGTGATGAATTTTTTGATGGGTTCATTTTTCGTTGGGGGGAGAAAGTTGATTGCTTTATTGTGTGTGTTTGATGAATTTTGATTGTAATATATGTTATTATGTGTGAGTTTAATTGGGTTTTGATTTGTTTTTTAATTGCTGTTGATGGGTAGGTTTTGATTTGGATCGTTGTTGTTGAGACGTCGATAAAGTGTTTTTCAGGAGGGTATTGTTAGTTAAAGAATAAGGAGATTAAGGTTTGACTTGATAGATCACAAATATGGCAGCTCCTGTGCCTCCAGGGGCACCAAGGCAACGTCCACCACCACAATCAAATTATAACCCTAATTTCCAGCAAAATCCTAATGCATTATTTGATAATTTCCAGAATTTGAATATAAACCGTCCTGTTTCAATGCCCAATTCTACTCCGAGGCCAACCCCATTTGCCCAAACACCACCTTTTCCTTCTACAACCCCTCAACCACCGATGTCCCGCCCAGGCCCTCCACCACCTGGTGTGGTTCCAAGATCTATGGGAACCCAACAACCCACATTGCCCCCAAATGTGGCCCAACGGCCCCCTGCTCCGCCTGCTGGCCAATCTTTTCCTTTTGGTGGCAGACCCCCTCCTGGGTCTTTTCCCTCATCAATGGGTAGTGGTGGCCCTGTAGGGGTTCCCCCTTCTGGGGTGCCTCTGGCTGGTGCCTTACCATCTTCAGGTTCATTGGCTGGTCCATTTGCACCACCTCCAAGTGCTAGACCTTTTGCATCTTCTTCGACCTTGAGTAGTGGTATGAATGTACCCCCTTCAAGTGCTCAAGATGGTTTGACAAGTAATGGGCCACTGTCATATGCTGCTTCGGGGGCTGCACCAGGAGGACCACGTTTTCCTCCACCTGGTAGTGCAATGCAAACCCAAACACCTCCTGTTGGTCACCCGTCAATGGTGGCATCAGTTCGATCTCCTCCTCAATCTCCAAGTATGCGGTTTCCTCTGGGCAGTGCAGGGATTAGTTCCTCGATGGTTCCTCCAATGCAGCAGGCAATGCCATTCTCAGTTCCACCTCAAAGTGCGCCTCCATTTTCAAGTGCACCACCAATTTCAGCAGCACCTCCTCAAGGTGTACCACCACCTCAAGGTTCTCCTTTTGGGCCACAGACATGGCAAAGTAGACAGGTCAGCTTATAAAAATTCACGTTTTATGTTGTTCAGGAGTTTTTAACTAAAATCATGATTAATGTATTATCAGTCATCTTCAATTCCAATTAATGCTAGCTCACCTAAGCAATATGCAGCAGTTATATATAAGTATGTTTAAGTACTGTTAGTTTCTGTTCTTTCACTTAATTTTTGGATATTTAATTTTCAAACTTTAAATTCATGGTGTAAGTTTGAGTAAGAACTTATGGAATTATGCATTATTATATAAAAATTAGGGGGGTCTTCTTTATACAGGAGTCATTTAATTTACACAAGATTAGAATGAATGTTCGACCATAAAGCATGTGATGCACGTAGAAGGATAAATAAATAAATAAATAAATTATAAATAAGTGGTGTATAAATTTAGAAAAGCAAGATAAATATAATGTTATGCTGTCCAATAAAAAATGGAATATGCTAAAAAGAAATAACTAGTAAAGGGTTGCATTTATCTGTACTGTGTTGTTCTATATCCTGAAACTTTGTCTAAGTGCTTCTGTTGAATACAGATTGTTTAAATTTCTGTCTGAAGCTTAAATTAAGTTCTCTACTGCAAATGGATAATGAGAATTTATATGTTATATAAAGTTCTAAGATTTGACTTAAGGATGGGCGATTTTGGTGCAAGAGGCTTTCCTTACAATGATCTCTTGTTTAAATTCACCTTGTCATGCTGATTGGGATGATTTCTTGTTTTAACTCTAATAAACTTTTGGGCCAAAGTACATGCGCATTGCATAAATTACTAACTACTTACATGATTCTATATTGCATGACACCTTAAAAACATTTATTTTTTTCTCTCATCTATGAAATAGATTTTTAACCATTTTGGTTTGCTTTAGGTTGGTCCATCTCATCCAATTCCTGGTTCAGTGCAACCACCTAGAATGTTTGGTATGCCTCCACCACTACCAACTCAGTCGATGACAACTATACCTCCTGCTATGGGTCAAACTGGAGCCCCTGTTGCAGCGTCTTCGAAGATAGATCCCCAACAAATTCCGCGGCCCATTCCAAGTTCTATGGTGGTCATGTATGACACTCGTGAAGGAAATCAATCCAACACTCCTCCGGTATTATTCTTTTAGGTTCTACTTTACTTATTTATCTTTGCTTTTGTTTTCCCCCCTGTATTTCACTTCTGCTCAAGTTACTTGCATGTTGCTGAGAGATTTTCATTTTTATTTATCGATTTCCATTTTTATCTATTCCTTTGCCTTTACTGATTATTTTTATGCATTTTATATAGCCCGCGACAAGTGATTACATTGTTAGAGACACTGGGAACTGTAGTCCACGCTACATGAGGTGTACCATCAGCCAGGTTAAAATCAAGTTTTAAATGCATAGGCTGGCAATCATTTTGCAGTCTTTAATGCCTCCATTAACTTTAACTCTATGTCTTTAGAATTTATAACTTTTGGATTAATATGGACTTATTGCTTAAACAGATACCGTGCACTAATGACCTCTTGGCAACATCCGGCATGCAATTGGCTCTTTTGGTCCAACCTTTGGCCCTTCCTCATCCATCCGAGGAGGCGATCCAAGTAATGCTTGATTTCTTTCTTCTTTTTTATTTGTAAATGTAATACTCTAGGATTGTTTGTCTCTTCTTTCAATAACTTTTGGTCAGTGGATCATGAATTTATGTGTGAAGCCCCATATTTTTCTAAGAATTTAGTTTAAAGTTTTACATCACAATTGAGAATTTAAGGAAGAAACTTGACTTATTTGAAGACAAAAGATTTCAATTTTTTGGTTACACGTGTGAGGATGATGACTTTTGAGCTTTTTGATTGAATTATTTAGATGTGCATAGATAGGAGAGGAATCAATTTATTTTATTACTACATTTGTTTGGATTTTGTGGGGGTGTGTGGGAAGGGCTTCATATAATAATACTACTTTTCTCTGTCGGATAACCAATAAATCCGTTGTGCGTATGCACTAGGTTGAATTGGGTACTGACGCTGTACCCCAAAACCTTTTAGTGTTTAGGGAAGCTGTGGGACATTATATCCCAGGCCTTAAAGAAGATTTGAATATCTAAAGTCTTAGTTGGAAAGTGAGGGTTATGTGATTCGATTTGGAATGATATTAAGCTTTTGATAACACAAAATAATGCCACTAATGTTATGAGTGGATGAGGAAGGGTTTAATTTATTGTTTGCTTCCAGATAAGTTTCATGAGTTTTCATTTGGTTGGAAAGTTCCAACAAGTGCATCTGCTTTTTAAGCTTCTGCAATTGAAGAAAGAATCTAGTTTCTACATTTCATAAAATTTTTCTTGTTATAGGTTGTGGATTTTGGAGAAAGTGGTCCTGTCCGATGTTCTCGTTGCAAGGCCTACATAAATCCTTTTATGAGGTTCATTGATCAGGGAAGGCGGTTCATCTGCAATTTGTGTGGTCAGTATAAACAATCATTGTCTTCTAATTTTTTCCTTGTAGTTTTTGTGTTTAGATATGGTTGGAAGATGCCGTGTAGAGTGGAGATTGTCTTCTCTTCTCTGAATTTGCTGAAACAAGAAAACTTATTGCACATTATTTATTTGGCACATTTTGGTTAATTGATGTCAAGACTTCTTATTTTCTTTGTTCCTTTATATGTGTTGGAATAACTCTTCTTTGTTTATAATTTATTGTTCACATCAGTTGGGAAGTTTTGTACTTTTCAACTATGATCAAAATGTAGTAGCCTGAAAAGACCTTGGGTTTGAATCCGAAGCTTTTCCTTTTTTTTTTTTTTTTTTTTTTTTTTTTTTTTTTTATTTGGGTTCTTTTTTTTTTTTTTTTTTTATTTTTTTTTTGGAGATCCTCATTATCTATTACAAGGTTCTATAGATTTCAGATGACATGTGGAACCTTTTCAATAATGTGTTTGAAATTTTCTATTATAGTTGCTGGCTTACAGAGAGCCCCTAGTATGTTGTCAAAGCGTCCTCATTGTATACCAGCACCAATAGTTTTTGAATTTTGATGCATTCTGCTATATATTCATTTTTTACAGCTGGAGATAGGTGGTGTCTTGACAATGCAATTTACTCATTTTTCATCCTTTTTGTAGGATTTACGGATGAAACTCCCCGTGATTACCACTGCAATCTAGGTCCTGATGGTAGGCGTAGAGATGCTGATGAAAGACCTGAGCTTTGTAGGGGGACAGTTGAATTTATTGCTACAAAGGAGTACATGGTCAGTTAATTAATCAAATTTATGGCTTATAAAAATATGTTTTCCATATTCTTCTCCCCACTTTTTATTTTTATCCTATGACATTCCCTGTAAATGATTGGCGTGGTGTGTGGTTGCTGACATGGCGTGTGTTGACATCTATACTTAACCACTTCAGACAATTATGTACATGCCACCTTCTATAACTTATTGGCCTTCTGATAGAAGAGTTCTTTTACTTGCTGAGTATACAGTTAAAATTGACATGGTGTGATTTTGCCATGGCCAATTTAGAGCCCATATATTATATTTTCTGCTATTATAAAAAGGAAAGCAGGTGCTGCATGCAGTTTTCTTTTAGTCTTTATTTTGAAGCTCTTATATATTATTTTTAGACAATAGGCGCTGCATGAAGGTTTTTTTTTGTTATTCTCTTTTCTGGGTGCAATAGATGTTTTTCTTTTTAATCTTATTCCAGGTGCGTGATCCAATGCCGGCTGTTTATTTTTTCCTTATTGACGTCTCGATGAATGCCATACAAACTGGTGCAACTGCTGCAGCTTGTGGTGCTATTAGTCAAGTTATTGCCGATCTTCCTGTGAGTATGTCTAATTAAAAAAGTATATTGATCTGGTCCCATGCACCTTGTAAATAAGATTCTTATTAAATAAATGTTTCATCTCAATTGCTATTAAGTTTGTGGATCTAACTCTTCAAGTATCCAAGAAACTAGGATTTTCTGGGTGTTGCCACTTTCTTGTGTTTCATCTTTTGTCATATGGAGACATGTTGTTGGCACAAAGTTGCACACACCAGATCATCCAGTGTTGGCAATCTAAAGTAACTATTATTATTATGCTATTCTCATAATATGGCTTATCCCGATGTCCTTGTGATTATGCACTCAAACTGCAAATGCATTTTGTATTGGTTACTTTTGTTTCCTAAATTATCCTTGATCTTGTGCAGCTAATTATATTTTTAAAGTATAAAAATCCATCCTTGTTTGTTTACTCTAGGTACTTTTCACTCTTACCTTTGTAAAAGACAAGGACATTTTAGTGACTGGAATTTGATGTTTCTGTTTTTGCAGGAAGGTCCTCGGACTATGGTGGGAATCGCAACATTTGATTGCACAATCCATTTTTACAATTTGAAACGTGCACTACAGCAGGTCAATAAATACTTGCACTAGTATTCTCTTTCAAAAATTTTAGCTATTGACTTGACTCATCTTTATTTTTCCTGCCTTCAAGATATATTTTTAAGTTCTTTACTATTTTTTTTTTCTCACATTAAATTCTTCAACCAAGAAGAAAAACCCTTTTATACGTGTTTGTCTCTTTTATACTTGCTGGGTTTTGTTCTGTGCCATCTCATAGCAAGCTTTGGTATGCATGCTCTTTTTCTAGAATGAAGAAATTTAATCATCATCGGTATGCAATTCAGTCTTGGCTTCTGATGTAGAACTCCTGATTTTTTGTATTCTTTGATTTTTCCTTCTTAAACATGAAAATAAGGATGCATGCTATCTTATGTTGTTAGAAATATTTAGGCTACTTATAAGAGGACAACCACAAAAAACAGAAATTAGAATTGTCATTGGGCTTTTCTATTTGCAATTCCATTTAATAACTATTCTTACTTCAGTCATTGATTAGTCGTGATAAATTTTTTTTTGTCTTTAGTATTTATTTGATTACCGTATGTGAAAGGTTTTTCAGACTGAGCTTGATTTCAAGATATGTTTTGCAGCCATTGATGCTCATTGTCCCTGATATAGAAGATGTTTATACTCCGCTGGAATCTGATGTCATTGTTCCACTATCTGAGGTTAGCTCCTAAGGTTTTTAGGCTAATTTATGCTTTCTGTTGGAGATTTTGAGGTCCATGAAGAAATATTTCGACTACTTTGTTGTTTTGAGGAATTTTTAAAATGCCTTTCAGTAATATTATTGCTTTTCTTATGTGGATTTAGTGCCGTCAACATTTGGAGATGTTGCTGGAAAGCATTCCATCCATGTTTTTGAACAATAGAACAGCTGAATCAGCTTTCGGTGCAGCAGTCAAGGTATGCTATTTTGTATAAGGGTATAGTGTACATGCATGGCATGTGTTTTTTGTTATTCTAGTTAAAACCCAAGACATAACAAAAATGTAGTAGGATATGAATATGGTTTGCTAACTGCGTCATGGTGGTGATGCCTAGTTTCGGCTTTGAAAAAAATGTAATATCCATCAATTTACATATGCTAAATAAACCAATGCCTCATTTGGTGTTTTTGATTCTCACAGCAGATTTTAATCCAACAATCTGTGGCGCAGAAAAAAGGAATAAAAGAACATATTATCAATTTAAAATCATTTCCCATGAGGTTGATTGAAATTAATGTTTAGTATATAAATACAGATGGTTAACTACTATTCAGTACTTGATTAGCTTGTCTTACCTGGTCAAAATGTGGACTGATTAGGATCCTATATCTACTTCTGTTCTGAAATGATTTAGCATGGATTAGTGTTAGCCATCAGCATGTAGTGTCTACTTTTTCAAATGCGGAGGAGAATTAAAAGCACGCATTACAGTGTTGAAATAATGTTTGGCGCAACTAAATGATAAAATTGAAACAATATGTGGATGTTCTCAGAAAAAAGTTAAGAGATTGTTTTTGGGAAGAGTACGTCCACTACAACGTTTGTGGAGACCCAATTTTTTTTTTTTTTTTTCTGTATAACTTTTGGTTTTTATAAGAAAAACATTAATCAGATTCTGGCCTTTTTGATCGTTTTAGGAAACAAAATATGTTTCTTATATCTTATATAAAATTTTGGTTTTTTTTTTCTGTTTCTATATTTTCATTTCTTGAGAAAAATAATCATAGTTTATAATTCATATTCCCTTGCATTTATTTTCCTTGCTACTTATATTTGTATATATCAGTTAAATTGTGAAACTTGAATGTCCTAGCTAACACATATTTATAAAAGTGCTACATATTAAGTACTTGCAGCGTATATTTGGATACTTAAGCTTTTGTCTTCTGTTTCAGGCTTCTTTCTTGGCTATGAAGAGTACTGGGGGCAAACTTCTAGTTTTTCAATCAGGCAAGCTGATATGCAGTTTTATGAGTTTCTTGTTATTGGTCTATCAAAATTTATGATTTTCTTTGCATATTTGTTCATGCTTGCATATGATTTAGTTTATGGCTGCATGAAGTTGAGACTTGCTATCATTAAATGAGATATTCATTTGATAGATGCCCAACTAATAATTCCTTGGCTGATAAATTCCTGCGTTGCAAAAAAGCAGTGCACTTGAATAAACGTTTGCATCTCTTTTCTGTACAAGTCGTTTGAGATATTTGCCAACATTACTTTTATATTTTATAAACGTTTGCATCTCTTTTCTGTACAAGTTGTTTGACATATTTGCCAACATTTCTTTTGTATTTTAGTTCAGTATGGAAGCATTTCTCTGTATCTGTCAACATTTCATATATATTTTAATTCATTATGTGAAAGCATTTCTGCTGTTAGCTGGGTCGTTTTTCTTTTTAATGGATCTTTATTCCCTGCAACCTGTAAAAATTGTTGGAATGGAACAATTATTGTTCTGATAAATGTTGTACTATATATGTACAGTCTTGCCTTCAGTTGGTATTGGAGCCCTTTCTGCTAGAGAGGCTGAGGGAAGAAGTAATATCTCTGCTGGAGAAAAGGTAAAATATCTTATATGTTGTTTTTTCTTCTGCCAATTGTTTGTTCTTGGGTTATAGTACCATGTACTCTTGCTTTTCGTGAATGAGTTTCATATTTAGATTATTACAGGTGACTATTATCTAAACTATGCATATTTGTGTGGTGTAAACTCCTGCACTGGGACTGGGGTTGTCTAGTTAAGAGCCTCGCATACCAGTAACTAACTTTGTATGATATGGTTACCGTAAACTGTTTTGAGGACTAATTTTTTTTTTTTTTTCTTTTTCTGTTTTCTGACAGTTGGTATGAACTTGCTTTACTTGCTACTTTGTTTAAATGGCTGGTTTAACTGCAGCTGCATGGCAGTTTAGTTTTTATATTACCAAATGTTAGAAGTTTACTGCGTCGTTGTATTGTGAATTAGAGAAAAACAAAGGAATTAATGAACAGCCCAGGTCCAACAATGAGGTAGGTCCTGTTCTGTCACAATCAAAAGTAGAAATCGTGAGGGCTGTGTACCCTAAGCGGAGAATATTATACTATGTGAGACCAAGTTGTTACACTTAGTCTATAAAGTTTTTCAGTTTTTTTTTTTTTTTTTTTGGGTAAAATCATAAGTTCTGTTTTATTCAGACCATAATGTATAATGTAGGGGATGCCAACTAGTTTTTCCTTTTCTTTTTTGTTTGTTTTCATTAAGTGGTTAATTTGTCTTCTCTTCTTGATGCTTTGGTACTGTCAGCATGAAATGCTAAGATGAATATTTAAACTGCAGATTATCAAGACGTATTATATGAGGTTTTATGTTTTTTGTCTTTATTTATTTATTTCAGGAATCACACAAACTACTGCAACCAGCAGATAAAACTTTGAAGGCAATGGCAATGGAGTTTGCCGAATATCAGGTGAACTTCTAACTGACTTCTTTTTACTTGTTTATGATTAATATATATTTGTAGATTCTCTGTTTTGACATCGGTTTATAGTGGCACAGAAGCTGGTGATCATGAATTTATCTAGCTCATTGTTTTTGTTTCAACGTGTTCCAGGTCTGTGTAGATGTGTTTCTCACTACTCAGACATATGTAGACATTGCTTCCATCTCTGTCATCCCAAGGATTACTGGAGGACAGGTATTTTTGGCTATTTGACTGTTATTTGTAATCTTAGAAAGTGATCTGCATTCGGTCCTTTTAGTGTCAATGCTGTGTCCTAACTGAAATTAATCTCTAACTTGCATACTAATTTTTTATGCCAATTCTCCCTTTATAATTACTAGTGAAAGAAACACGAAAATGCAAGATATCTTCTGGATTTTTCATTTATTCACGTTAAAAAAAGCGCTACTGGATGCAGAATCAGTTTAGTTTTCCCTTCTTTTTCTTATTTTTTTAATTTCAACTTTTAGATTCTGTTGTCAATCATGAAGTTACATATAAGAAAATCCTTAATTTTTTCTTTCTGTGAAACAAAGTTCTTTTTTTTTTCTTTCTTTTTTTTCTGATTTAATTTAGATCTTTCTGTTTTGCATAAAATTTAAAAAGATAAAGAGTGTACTGCTCTGAACGTAAAGAGATTTACAGACGAGTGGACGAGCTGTCCACAAAACAAGTGGAAACTGTCTACTAAGATATCAAAAGGGTTACAATGTAAAACTTTCAGATCTTAACAGGTCAAAAGGACTTGCCTAGAAACGATGTCCTATGAGATCCTTGCAAACCCACAAAAATAAAAAATTAAAAAAGGTCTCAGGAACTTCCTAGAAGGGAAGAGAAAATTTTAGGGTCTGTTTGTTTTATTTTGGATAAGTTTTGAAAAAGTAAGAGTTAGGTAGTTATTACGAGGTAGGATTTGAAAGTTAACAAAAACCCCCGCAGGTTTGTTAATTTAATTAAACACTTCTGCAATAAAACATTGAAAATTAACCCTTGCACCCACGCATTAAATGTCGGCAGCCGGCCACCACCGTCGGAGGGTGACCGGAGTCGTCGTATCGGCACACGATCGGCTGAATCTGGCCGGTCGTGCGTTGATATGGCCTTTTCCAGAGGCCAGATCTATGGCTAGATTTGGGCACGTTTGGTCAACGACAGCCAAAGATATGGCCGTTGTTGACGACCAGCTACGACTAAAGATCTGACATGTTCTAGCCAGATCCACAGTGGATCGGGCTGAAAAATGTTAGATCGGCTCACTATCAGCCAGATCTAGTTGGTAATGTGCCATTATACCAGATTCCGACTACCTTCTAGCGGTAGTGGTAGGAATTTGGAAAAATGTCGGTGGATGGGGGTGTTTTTGTCAAATTCTAAACTTTTTTTTTTTTTTTTTGTGTTTAGTTAAATTAACAAACCTAGGGGGTTTAAAAATAATTGAATAAAATAGAATAGGATTTTCAAAATAGGGAAACAAATGTGTATTTTGGGTAGGATAGGGATATGATAGTGCAAAAATGGGCCCTTAATTTCTTATTGAGCTAGCAAGGAATTTAGATTCTTGGAAAAATAAAAAAAATAAATGATGTATTTGAGTCTGATTGTTTCTTTTGCTTCTCATCCCCCCACCCCCGTCGAGGCAATGAAAATATATCCTTGTGTTTTTTACTTATTGTGAAATCAGAAGAATTTTCTTCGTATTGATTGTGAACAAAATACAACAATATATACATATTCAACAGTCCATACAAGGAAATGAAATAATCTAAACTGGAAAGGGAATGATCTAATTTCTTATTCTAAAGATCCTATTCCTAAAACATTTGATTTGTACAACTCAACACTCCCCCTCAAGCTGGGGCATATAAATCATATGGACCAAGCTTGTTACAAATAAAGTCAATACGATGACCCCTAAGTGATTTAGTGAGAATATCTGCCAGTTGATCATTTGAGCGGACATGACTATTGGTAATACAATCAGATAAGATTTTCTCTCTGATAAAATGACAATAAATTTCTATATGCTAAGTCCTCTCGTGAAACACCGGGTTGGAGGCAATATGGAGAGCAGCTTAATTATCACAAAGTAACTTCATCTTTACTACTTCTGTAAACTTCAATTCTTGGATTAGTTGTTTCAACTAAATGAGCTCAGAAGTTGTTAGAGCCATTGCACGGTATTCTGCCTCTGCACTCGATCTGGCAACGACATCTTGCTTCTTACTTTTCCAAGATACAAGGTTTCCTCCCATAAGAATACAAAAACCTGAAGTGGAACGTCTATCAGATGGAGAACCTGTCTAATCAGCATCAGAATATCCGACAATCTGTGTATGACCCTTGGTTTTATATAATAGACCTTTGCTTGGTGTACCCTTTGATATATCTTAAAATCTGAATAACTGCATTCCAATGACTGTCATAAGGAGACTGTAGAAATTGACTAACAACACTGATGGAGAAGGAAATATTAATTCGTGTAATGGTGAGATAGTTAAGTTTACCAACCAGTCTTCGGTATTTCCCAGCGTCTGCAAGAGGGTCCCCCTGTCCAGGTGAGAGCTTTGAATTAGGATCCATAGGAGAGTCCATCGGTTTACAGTCTAACATTCCTGTTTCTTTCAAAATATCTAGTGCATATTTCCTCTGAGAAATAACAATACTTGAGCTAGATTGAGCCACTTCAATACCAAGGAAGTATCTAAGTAATCCCAAATCTTTGGTCTGAAAGTGGTGGAAGAACTGTCTTCAACTGTTTAATAACATCCTGACCACTTCTCGTAATAACAATATCATGAACATAGACAACCAGATATATGCATTGCCCTAATGAGTTGTGTTTATAGAAAATAGAGTGATCAGACTCATACCGAATCATCCCAAACTCTTGAATGACATTACTGAATCGTCCAAACCAGGCACGAGGGGACTGTTTTAAACCATACAAAGATCGACGAAGTTTACATATCAAGGCAGACTACCCCTGAGCAACAAAGCCAGATGGTTGCTCCATATAGATTTCTTTGTGAAGCTCACTATAAAGAAAGACATTCTTAATGTCTAATTGGTATAGAGGCCAATGGCAGAGAGTAACCATAGATAAAAACAAGTGGACAGAAGACATCTTAGCCACAGGAGAAAGGGTCTCATAATAATCCAACCCATAAGTTTGAGTATACTCTTTTGCAACCAACCATGCCTTCAGTCGATCAACCTGACCATTTGGGCCAACCTTGACAGTATAAATCCAACGACAACTAACAGGCGATTGGCCGGGAGGCAAAGGAACTAATTCCTAAGTATTATTATGATGTAAAGCAATCATCTCTTCAACCATAGCTTGACGCCAGCCGAGATCAATCAGTGCCTCACAAACATTAGAAGGAACAGAGACAGAAGAAATGGTTAACACAAAAGCATAATATGATGGAGATAAGCGGTGATAACTATGAAAATTATAAATCGAATGAGGGTTGCGAGTGGACCGCAGCAGGAGAGGAATCTGACGTAGGAGGATCAAGAACGGGATCCTTAGGAACATCATCAAGAACAGTGTCAATAGCCGTACTTGGAACAATAGCATCACCTAGAGGAGGAGACTCGCCTATAGGGGTAGGACTGGGAGGAATAGTAACAGACTCTGCAGGATGATCATAAGTAGACTCAATGTAGGGCATAGGAAAGACGGTGGTGATAGAATCACTGTCTGATGTAGAAAAGAAAGGAGAAGACTAAAAAAAGGTAACATCAGCGGATAGAAAGTATTGACGAGTGGATGGAGAATAGCACCTATAACCTTTATGAAGTCTTGAGTATCCTAGGAAAATACACTTGGTAGATTTGGCAGACAGTTTGTTGGTACCTAGGGAAAGGACATGGACAAAACATGTGCAACCAAAGATACTTGGAGGAAGAGAGTGTAACTGTTGATTAGGGAACAAAATAGAATGAGGGACTTGGTTTTGTAGGACAAAAGAAGACATCATATTAATCAAGAAACATGCAGTTAACATAGCGTCTGCCCAGAACCGGAAAGGAACCTAATTGTGTAAAAGCAGGGTTTGGGCAGTTTCAATCAAATGTCTATTCTTACGCTTAGTAACTCCATTTTGTTGTGGAGTATAAACATAAGAGGATTGATGGAGAATTCCTTGGGATGACATGAATTTGGTAAAGGGAGTAGAAAAATATTCACGAGCATTATCACTCTGAAACACACGAATAACAACATTAAATTGTGTCTTAATTTTAGCACAAAAGGATTCAAATATAAAAAATAATTTGGAACGACTTGTTATTAAAAATAACCAAGTGCAATGAGAATAATCGTCAATGAACGTAACAAAATACTGAAACCCTAAAATGGACGAGACTCGACAAGGACCTTAGACATCAGAATGAACTAACTCAAAAGGGGAGGTAGCCTGTTTATTGACATGCTTTGGAAATGTACTACTAGAATGTTTTCCAAGTTAACATGACTCACAATTTAAAGATGATGAAGTAGATAGACCTGGAACCATCTTCTGAAGCTTTGTTAAACTAGGATGTCCCAAACGATTATGAAGGAGAAGAGGAGAATCGGAGACGGTGCAGGCAATGGGGGCAGAAGGTAACTTGAGATGATAGAGGCCCTGTGACTCATGTCCTGCGCCAATCATTTGTCCCGTATTGCGGTCTTGTGTAACAATAGAATCATTAGTAAAAGTGATAGAACAATTTAAAAAGCGGGTGAGTTTACTGACAGATAGAAGGTTAAAAGGGCAATGGGGAATATACAAGATAGAATCTAAAGTCACAGAGGAGAGTGGTTGTGCACTACCTATTGCTTTAACAACTGCTTTGGTCCCATTGGCTAAGGTAACAAGAGACAAAAAGGTAGTATTAATAAGATGAGGAAGCAAACAGGGGTTACCAAAGACATGATCCGATGCACCTGAATCAAGAACCCAAGGCCTTTGAGGAGACGACTAAGTGAGGCATGCAATTGATTTTCCCGACTGAGTGATGGAAGCAACAGATGAAGAAGACTGCTTATTTGCCTGGAACTGGAGATATTCGTCATAATCAACACCCATAAAAGTCAAGGATGACTGACTTGGTTCTTCAGAAGATTCAGAATGATGATCAGGATAAGTGACATTGGCAACCCGAGGAGGACGCCCATGTAATTTGTAGCATTTTTCCCGGGTATGCCCCCACCTATGACAATAACTACACTTGGGTCGACCTCCCCTGTCACTACTTTCCCCCTGTTCTCCTTTAACAAAAGTTTGAGACTGAGAGGTCAGGACAGAAGAATCAACTGGGGAAGATCCAACCACAACACCAGGGGAGGAGACTCGAAGTAATCGAGCAAAAACTTCATCAAGAGGAGGCACAAGAGCACTTGCTAGCATCTGATCTCGTATTGGAGTGAGAGCAGGACTGATAGTGGCAAGAGTAAGAACCATAAAGAATTTGTCTCATTGTGCCAGATCTTTTGCTTTAGACTTGCCAGTGGGTAGTAACAAATTAAATTATGCCTTGAGAGAGGCCATCCTGCCAAGAAAGTCAGACATGCCCATATCTTCTTGTTTGAGATTAACCAAATTGGACACAACAGAATAGAGTCTCTGAATATCATTAGTATAAAACAGTTTGGCCTGTTGCCATACCTCAAAACAAGTTCTATATATTTTATAAGTAGAATGAAGGTGGGGGTCAATAGACTGCCATAATAAACCATATACCAAAGCATCTGTCTTTACCCAGGTAGTCTTATCATCCATGACATCTTTATCCTTAGTGGTCAAGTGATCCTCCAGACAATGTCCCATACACCACAGTTCAACGGAGGCAGCCCATGAAGAATAATTGGAGCTGCCTATTAATTTTTCAGTTGTGATCGGAGGAAAAGATAAAAAAGAAACAGAACTTGATTTGGTGTTGGATCCTTCAGCGAGCATGATTGTCTTGTGGGAGAGATTGAACTGATTTGGGCTGAAAAACAAAATTAATTATGGGCAGATCGGAAAAAGAGGATATTTTGGCGGTAGTGGGCTATTTCTGATGCCGGTGATGACAATGCAGTGTCGGACGGTGATAGGTGTGCTCGCCGGCGGTGTCTGAGTGCATAGGTGCCGACGGTGAGACCTCATGTTAGCCGGTGAAGGAGATCTGAGAAGGAGCTGCCAGAAAGAAGACCGACGCGTGCGGTAGCGACTAGCGATGAAATTTTCAGGTTTTGCCGGCGAGGAGAAGACGAACAGGCTGGTGTGGTTAGAAGAGTGATTCAACACCAGAAGGAGATAGCCTGAACTTCGCTAGAAAATATCGCCGGAAAAAAAAAAAGAATGTTTTTTCTAGGGTTTCTGATTTCTTAGTTTTGATACCATGTGAAATCAGAAGAATTTTCTTTGTATTGATTGTGAACAAAATACAACAATATATACACATTCATCAGTCCATATAAGGAAATGAAATAATCTAAACTAGGAAAGGGAATGATCTAATTTCCTATTCTAAAGATCCTATTCCTAAAACATGTGATTTGTACAACTGAGCACTTATTTCAGTTGACTTTATATGTTTCTTACTTCCTTCCAGGTTTACTATTACTACCCATTCTCGGCTCTTCCTGATCCCGCAAAACTTTACAATGATCTTAGATGGAATATCACGAGGCCCCAAGGCTTTGAGGCAGTTATGCGTGTGAGATGCAGCCAGGTAGTCTTTTAGGATTTTGAAATTTTCTTCTTCTTTACTATCGTAAGGCAATTGGTTTTCTGTTTTTGAATATGGTTCTATTCTTTAAGTTGATTTTTGAATAAACTTTTATAGGGTATTCAAGTTCAAGATTACTATGGGAACTTTTGCAAACGCATTCCGACAGACATTGACCTACCTGCGGTTTGTACATTTCTAGCAAACTATTGTCTTTCAACCATTCTATTTTGTTTCCTGATTCCCATTCCTATTGCAGTTGCTTCTATGTTTTACTGAGGCTAAGCATATTTTGGTAGCTATTTTCATCTTGACTTATTAACCAGGAAGTCATCTTGTCTATTGTGCAGATTGACTGTAACAAAGCTATCATGGTAACCTTAAAGCATGATGATAAATTGCAGGATGGCTCAGAATGTGCTTTTCAGGTACATATTTCCCTACAATATGTCTTAGTTTTAAAAATACGTTGTCTGTTAGTATAAGTAGCTTTTTGTATGGCTCTTAGTGTTCAGAAGTTGAATTTTCTTATTTTTAATTGCATTTTCTTTTCCATTGTTCAGTGTGCCCTTCTTTACACCACTGTGTATGGCCAAAGAAGAATTCGAGTTACAACTTTATCCTTGCCATGCACCAGTAATTTAAGTAATCTGTACCGCTCGGCTGACTTGGATACTCAATTTACATGTTTCATGAAGCAAGGTATTTGATTTTATTTTGTTAATTGTCTTTGCTAACTTGTTTCAGCTTCCCGGTATGATTCTGTTATGTACATTTTCCAGTTTCTGACTGCAATTCTTTTTATTGTCCGATGTTTTCAAATAATGAATGTGATTACAGAATTTTTATTTTTTATTTCATATTCGACAGCTTTTAAATGTGAGCATTACGTGCTCTTTTCCCAACTCTGTTCTTTTGTTTTATTTTCACGCTAACTCTTGTCAAGCAGTCATTCTTTATTTCCTAGAAGCTGTAGAAATCGTATTGTTATTATTTTATATGATAGGAAGTTAGGAACTCACTATAATCCTTTTTCTTTTCTTAACTACTCTATTTGTAGCGGCAAATGAAATTCCTTCCACCCCACTAGTGAATGTCCGGGAACAGATGATGAACCTTTGTGTCAATGCTCTGGTTTCGTATCGTAAGTTCTGTGCTACTGTATCATCATCTGGACAACTTATTCTACCAGAGGCTCTCAAGCTTTTGCCTTTATACACCCTTGGTATGTACTTTTCTGTGCATTATAATTTGTTTTTAAGTTATGAATGAAGTAATGTTGTATCCAGCAATACTCATTAAGCACTTATTTACATCTTAAATTTCCATGTGGTACATATTTTTATGCTTTCTAAGGGTAAATGTGGTCCACCAAATGGTTTGAAGAATATATTTGTATGCTTTCTTATGCTTGTGTGAGCCAGGTTTTCTTGGCACAGTAACGAACATCCATCCATAGTCTTTCTTTGTGTAGGATGGATGCTCCTCTTAGAGTTCTTGTATTCAATATGATCTGCTGGTCCATGCTTTATATTCTTCTTTGAATTATTAGTAATACATTTCTCTTAGTTTCTTTTCACAGAAGTTAGAGAATCCATTCTTGAATAAATATATTTTCCTTTTTTTTTTTGTCAGTATCTTTTTTCTTTTTTCGGAAGGGAGTGTAGTTGGGATTGGGACTTGGGAGCATTGAAGTCTTGGAGATTATCATTGTCAATATATCTACCAATATTAAGTATGCTAGGACCTTCAAAATTAGTTAACATGATAATTCGTGTAAGATTATGCTGGTCATGGTTTTAAAACCCGGACTAGCCCGGTCGGTTTAATCGGAACCCGGGGCCTTCTTCGGGTCGGGTTACCCTTTCAACTGTTTCAATTTTGAAATCTAGCAAACATACCCCTGATTAATATGCATCAGTCCTTGAAGGTTTCAAATCCAGCAAACACACCCTCTGGCCAAATGCAAATCGGCGATGACCTCCCTTTTTCTGGCGACCTTCCACTTTCCCTTGTTGTTGGAAACCACATTCTGACTTTCTCTGGGGCCGTGACGCTTCATCTCCCGCCGCCGTGCGATGTTTTGTCGTCCAACAATTTTTCTTCCATTTCCCGACGTCGATCGGCCTTCTTTGGCATCGATAGGCCTCCTTAGCCACCGATCTACCTTCTCCCAAGCTCCCTTGCCGTCGTTCACGAATATCCATAGTCATCTCGCCAAAAAAAGCCACCGCGACCATTTGACTTCCACCACCGATTTGCCATGTTCCGGCGATGCCTCAACTTGCTAGTTGCTGATTCGTCCTCCCCATCACCCGATCTACCCTTCCTGGTGTGTCGCCGCCGCTCTTCCATTCGATCGCCAATTTGCATTTGGTCAGGGGTTGTGTTTGCTAGATTTCAAACCTATAGGGTCTGATGGTATTCATCAAGGGTGTGTTTGCTATATTTTAAACTTGTCAAACCATTGGTTAAACCGCCGGTTAACCTGTGACCTAGTCGCCTGAACGGGTCACCCCTCGGGTCGGGTTTTAAAACCTTGATGCTGGTTGGAGATGCATAACATGTAAATAAATTGTGTGGAATGAATTTCCCAAACCTTACGTTCTTTTTCCTATAAATCATAGTATTATGAAATCTTGAATGAGTTTCAGACCGATGCTCATTTTTACTTTTATATTTTATGTTGAAGTGGCTACCATTCATGGCTAAACGCAGCATGTCTCTAACATTGGAGAATTTGAAGTTGTATAGTGTATTTTTATTAGCCATTTTTGTTAAGATTAAATATTGAAGGATGGACATGGATTGACAAGTTTCTTTCATTTGTTTTTCTTCAGCATTAATTAAAAGTGCAGGACTGAGAAATGATGGGAGAATAGATGATCGGTCATTTTGGATAACATATGTTTCCTCTGTTTCTATTCCTTTGGCGGTTCCATTTGTGTACCCAAGGATGGTGGCTATCCATGACCTTGATTCAAAGGTATTGTTTATGTCAAGCGTACTTTATGTTTGATAGTGTTTAAAATATGCTTCTAAACTGTTATATAACTTTCTTTTAATTGACAGGTGGAAGGTGGATCTCCTATTCCTCCCTTTCTACCTCTTTCTAGCGAACATGTTAGTGATGAGGGAATTTATCTTCTTGAGAATGGTGAGGATGCTCTAATATATATTGGGAGCTCAGTGGATTCAAATATCTTGCGCCAGCTGCTTGGCATTAATTCAGTTGAAGAAATTCCAACTCAGGTAATTCCATCTTAATCCTTGCAGAATATAAAATCCTTGCCTTTCTCTATTTGCTGTTATCAGTTTGTTGTAAGTTGTGGCCATTTCTTGGAAATAAGCCTCTGAGCACCAGACTTTGTCCTTCAGACTTAATTCAGTTTAGTATCTGGTGGAGTATAGGTCCATTAGGAGACTGCAGCAATTATTTGGTTTAGAAACCTTTTAGTGGTTCTATTCAGGGAAACTGAATTTAAAGGTAAAGCCTACATTACAAAGGTGTGTAATTTGATAGTGTGCCATATCAAAAAAGGAGCAAATTTTCTCAAAAGGGGATGAATTTTATTTGAAGCCATTTGTAATTAGACTACAGTGCCAATAGTTGCCTGGTGCTCAGATATAGTTCTCCTCTACTGGAATGGAGTGTCTTTTTATTTTTATTTATTTGTTTTTTGTTATTGTCCTTTTCCCCCTTGCCCTAACCATATACTGGTTATCATTCTCATTATGCAACTTGTCATTCTTTGCTAATAATTTGTGTGTACAGTTTGTGCTTCAACAGTTCGATAATCCGTTATCAAAGAAGCTAAATGAAGTGATAAATGAGATAAGGAGCCAAAGATGCTCTTACCTACGGTATGAATGACTTAATTTTTTTTTTTTTATTTGAAGAAATTAAAAAAAAAAAAAAAAATCTTTGAAATTTTAAATGATACTTTATGTAACTAAGTCTCAGTTCAATGCAATAGTTTGTAATTTTTCTTGTTTTATCTTCTTGCAGCTTAAAGTTGTGCAAGAAAGGAGATCAATCAGGTCAGTGAATTAGAACAGCCCTTTTCTGTTTTGCCATTTAATTGCTAGTGTTAAGAAAATGTCTCTCTCCATTATAGAAATACTGTTACCCCTCTTCTCTGTAGCCATCAGATATATCCTCTTCACATATCTGTTCATTTTCTTTTTTTTTTCCTTTTCAGAACCAAAATTGATCAAATCTTGTGTTGGCCAGTAGCTAGCCAAAAAACTTAACAGTGTCCAATAAGTGATTCGATATCTGATGATTGGATTCCCATGAGTTCAGCTCATTAGATGTCAATTCTTATGTTTCTATAATGCATTAAAGGAGTTTATCTAACCTTTTCACATCAGTTCATTTTGATAAATGTAATTAGGGTACATATTTAAGCCCTACCTGCAGCTAAGGTTTGACACTCCTAGGAAATGACAATAGATTTTATTGAAACTAAAGCATCACATCTCGTTGTCCATATTGGTCATGTAATTTGATTCTGTAATCCTATAATTCTTATGAGTTTTTTTTTTTTTCTTTTTTGGGATCAACAATCAGTTGTAGTTTCCTTATTTCCTCTTTGGGATCATATTGTGGTTTTGATTTATTTAATTGAAGTAGTTCATAATTTTTCCCCAGGGATGCTGTTCTTTTCGTATTTGGTCGAAGACAAGATTCCTACTGGCGGGCAATCATATGTTGAATTTCTAATAAATATCCATCGGCAAATTCAAGTTAAAATGTCTTAATCATTTTATGCTTCTGCCGTTGGTTTACAATTTTTTATCACCAACACACGAGCCCAAATGGAAAAATCCGAAGAGAAGATGAAAGTCTAGTTCTTGTTTTATACATGCACCGGGGATCAGCACCATCCGTTTTATATTCTGTGAAGGAAGTTGGCTAAGTTTTGCAATTAGAGGTTTGAAAGTGTAGTTTACATTTGTAGTTGTCAAATGCTGGTAATAAAATATAGAGCTTAAATTTATCTGTCTATTTAGTTTGTGTTTTTTTTTCTCTTTCCATCTCCCATCAACCTCCCTTGTGTACTGTTATAATCTCAGAAAAGCAGGTGGGGAAGGGGACAATGTGTAATTGATTGTTGTCTTCAAATGGACAAGTTTTGTTTTGTTTTGTTGATTTTATATTACATTCAATCAGATGTACTATAAATGATCTGCTATTTTGAATATATTATTTGATACATGATAAATAGACAATTAGTAGTTGCAGTTTCAATTATGCTACAGTTTTACTAAATTTATTGTTCTGGAAGATGTAAGTACAATTATATGAAGTGGGAAAAACGAACTTTAAGAACAGTTAAGGCCTCACGGACCATCCAATATGAATATTCAAAATTATATTGTGAACTGTCAAAACCTGGATATTATGATTATTCAAATACTTCAGTTAAACCTGTTATAAATCTTCAACCCAAATAATGGCATAGTCTCAAACAATGTTTTAAAGCCCGGTCTAGCCCGACTGGCTGAACCAGTTCAACCAGGGCCTGGGGCGTTCAGCGGGTCAAGTTATCAATTTTCTTATTAATTGAAAATCCTAAAAATTGGGATGGTGATCGGCAAACAATTGAAAATCGGGATGTTGGGATTTTTGAAGAGGAAGAGGAATCGATTGGAAATCACAAAACTAAATCGACAATAACTGAGGCAATCGAAGGAGGAGTGATATGGGTTTTGGTTAAGAGACTGAGGGGAGTGTTTTCTTAGTGATACGAAGTGTTGTCATCGTCGGAAACAAGCCCGATTTGCCTCGGTTTGTCGACGACGACGATGGTGTTTGAGGTGTTTTTGCAAGATTTTAAACTTGTGAAGACTTATTTAATTTTTAGGGATGTTTTTGTTATATTTCAAACTTTTAGACACACCCAAGACGCGGCCACTTTGTTACATCAGTTGATCTGTGTTAGTAAGCAACAAAATATAGAATGCCATCAAGTTTAAGAAAATTATGAGCATGCCAACACAAACAAAAGGAATGAAAACGTGACCAAACAGCCACTTGATTTTTAAATTGGATTAGCCATAACTACAATTGATTTGTGATTCTAGTCGTCACAAGTCATTGAAAGTCGTTTTTTTGATACATTTTTCTGAGTTTACGGGAAAATGAAGCAGCTAATACATTGGAAATTTGGCCCTTGTCTTCTCAAATACTTGTTCTGCAATTTCAGCATCAGTACCATCGGCTTTTTTGATCTCCAAGTTAGCCTTCTGATAAAACCCAGTACCTCTCAAAGCATCAGAAATGAAATCATTAAAACCAATTGCTATAGCAGCTTCAGCCTTGGCTCCATAAACCAATCTCTTTAAGTAAAAAATAGAAAGAGAATCAAAATTTTATTCAATATAAGGTGCAACTTTTAGGATCAAAGAAATGAAAAGGGATTATTTGATAATTGAACCTTAATCCTTGACAGGTGAATGGCACCAAAGCACATTGGACAAGGCTCACAGGAGCTATATATTTCACACTCAGAAAAGCCCAATTTGATTGACCTTTTTGCATGCCTGAGAAAGAGAGAGAGATCCAACCAAGAATTAGAACCAAGTGCATAAGGTGGAAAAAGACGATATATTCAGTGTAAATGCAAGTTTGAAGTCAAAACAATACATATCAAGATGTCTGCACCAGCATATTAAACCCAGAAAATATAACTCAACATTTGTTGAGTGTGTGTTTTATATAATTGCAATTCCAAGCATTGGGAGAGACCAGAACCACGCTGATAGCCAGAAATATGCAAATGAGTTTAGCAAATCGTGGTCCACATACAGAAAGCAAATCCAAATTTTTTTATCTAATGACATAACGGTTCCGCCAAAAGTTCATTAATTTTCAGTTCCAACAATATTTCTTTCAGTTCAGTGCAATTAGACAAATCAGACACAGAATATGAAGATTTTTTTAGCCTAACCTCTCTAATAGCTGTAACCTCTGCATGTGCAGTAGGGTCAGTGTTCTTCAAAACCATGTTGTGACAGCTCACAACTACTTCCTCATTACAAACAACTGCACCAAATGGACCTCCGTCTCCACATTCAACCCCTTTATATGCTTCTTCAACTGCTCGTCTTAAGAATTTGTGATCTCTATCCTGTACAGCTGGTTGAATGATGAACAAAAATGAATCCATGACATAGCATACTTACATCAAGTAGACTTACACAAGAAAGTCTCACATCTTCAATTCCACTAAGCACAAAGTTTATACTTTGATAATGATGAGAACCATCTATGATCAAATTAAACGAGCAGTAGAAAACAGGTATACATATTGAATAGACTGTCATGTTCTAAAAATACCCAATTGAGAAACTATGATGCAGACTAGTGAATACTAACAGGAACAGTTTAACAGTGAGGATAAAAACTCTTAAGACATCAAACCATGGCAATTATAGAAAGCATGAGAAGAGGCTTCGAATATTACTTTTTTTTTCTTTATCAGACAAGGCACAAGTTTGGCTTACCTTCAGGATGACCAGGAAAAGCGGAAGCCACAACAATGTTTCCATCTTTAGTTTCAACCACTGATTGACAAATAAGAAATACAACATGTAAATCACTCAAATTAATGAACAACGACAAGAAAGATTAACATTGCTGACTACTTCTATACAAACCAATTTAACTTGAATTGCTATCAAAGGGCAAAACTACAGCTAGATGGGAAAAAAAAAAGAAAAAAAAAAAAAAGGAAGAAATATTGGGAAAGGGAAAAGAATCATTTGCAAGCAACAACACCATAGAAGACATCAGTGCGACATTATTACAGAATCAACTTCACATTCCAATCTCTACGACAACTCAATTACCATCCATTGTCTGGTATAATTGTCAGAGCTGGATTTTAATCCACATGTTTCTTAGTTGAATAGCATATTTGTGATCATTATCAGCCATATGCGCAAGTTCAACAAATCCTACAATTCTTCTTCAATGAATATTTTAAGAAAAATGTTCCTAAAGACATAGAGAGGAAGAAACAATACGTGAACATATTTCAAGAAAAAAATACTTGTAGCAATTCTATGGGTGCCCGTGCACTCAAGAACAAACTCTACACATGCTTTAAAAGAGAAAAAATGGAAGGTTGCTTTTAAAGTAAAACAGAAAGAAAAAAAATAACCAAATTTAGGACTTCATGTTTTTATCAGTTTTGTCTATATGCATATAAACCACCGACTTTTCAGCAAAAATAAAATAAGAAAACATAACAAAGGGACCCATTAAAAAAAAATTGGAATGATAGTAAAAGGTCCAACTTTCTGAAAAATGCATATCCATAACAAAATCTCCATCACAGTCAAAACACACAGGCACAAAACAAATCCATCAGTAAACTTGCTAAAACAACTATATCTCATCCTTAAGGCATAAACAGACAAAACAAAAATGAGAAGAAGGTTACAATCAGCATCCTCCATTATGAAAATAGTGAATTGGGAAACAGAGAAAAGGGGAGTCACGAAATTGGTGTAAAAAAAGAAGAAGAAGGTTATTTATAATTGATTTGCAAAAGATTAATATTAACAGTTATTAGATAAAAATTAGAATTGATTCTTTTATATACTTCCGAAATAATAATAGTGGAGGAGACAAGAATGAAACACGTGAAATATCAAATTGCTTTTTTAGATCTTATTACAATCTTGGTGGCCAAGAAATTTTTAGTGGAGTAGCTATTAACATGGTGAGAAATACTTAGTGAAGTTGCAATTATTTTATTTGGTCATAAATAATTACATTATATTAAATGTTTTCACTATATCAATATAATGAATGATGGCCGTATATGGCCCTTCGTGCGTCGAAAAAGCCAGAAATGGCCATGTATCACAAATCCATGGCCTTTTGACGGCTAGATCTATGGCCATTTCACAGCCAAAACTTTGGTCGTGAAATGTCACAGCCAAAGATCTAGCCTTTTCACATCCAAATCTATGGCGGTTTCATGGCCACATCTTTGACCATGAAACGACCATAGAAATGCCAGATTTGGTTGTTTTTGGCCATGGATATGTGATCTATGGTGGGAAAAGGCCTTACGGTGCACGACTAATCAGATCCCTGTCGTGCACAATTACGGTTACTAACGCCAGCGGTCGACGATGGTAAGTCACGGCCGGTGGTGGTCTTCGATGGCTAAGAGTATTTTGTTAACTTTTAAACTTTTAAACTTTTAAACTTTTTTGTGACTGGGGTGTTTTAGCTAATTTCTCAAATGAAGAGGCGTTGGGTAATTGTTATTTGGTAGACATTTGAGGGCAATTGTGTCCGAAATGGTTTTTAATTAAGGGCAAAATGAGAAGAAAAATTATATTACCCCGGTAATGTTTTAATAACTGCCTCTAGCAAGGTAATAAGATTACCCCCCACATTACCAATAGTAACCACTATTTGCAATAAAAGATTAACATAATATTTTATTACGTGCAAACCAAACACAAGAATCTTGCAAAATAAATAAATATTACTCCCGTTATCTTATTTACCCCCGATCCAAACAACCCCTGAAGATTACTAAAAATGTTTAGGGAAATGTATTTGGTTAGGTGGAATAAATTGGTGATATGTTTGGTTGGGAGGAATTTATTGGTTGGTATGTTATATAGATTACTAAATTATCCTCATTTTTAAATATTAATATAATATTATTAATATTGAGATTATTTTAACCCCCTATATTTCAAAATTTAGTTAACACACCCCCATAATAAAGGTTTAAAAATTAACAAAAGACCCCAACCACCTAAGCCACTGTCGCGCTAGAATGGCACACGATTGATCGAATATGGCCGAACGTGCACCGCTATGACTGTTTTTGCCAAATCCATGGCTATTAACGGCCATAGACGTGGCTGTTAAGGGCCATCGATCTGGCTGTTTTCGGCTAAATCGGCGCACAACCAACTTGATATGACCGATCGTGTACCATTCCGACGCCAGCCAAAATTGGTGGCTGATGATCGACAATTGGCGATGGTAGCCAGATCTGACCACCACCCTTAGGTAATTTTTTTTTTAATCCAAGGGTATTTATATCCTAAAAACTTTGTATATAAGGATAAAATAATCCATGAATATATTTGTATATAGTTTTCAAAATAAAGGCATTATTGTTGAAAAATATTAATAGATAAGGTAAAATTATAGCAAAAATAAGATTATCAAATAATCCTAAAATACTTAA